ACGAATCTCGAATGAGTTGGGCCAGAAGCCTTCCGCTTTTTGGCCAGCGGCTGATGTGTGATCGGCTCAGACAAACTTGGCTGATATGTTGAGTGCCCAACACGCATTTAGACAGGGTAAAGCTGAAGTCGGATTTCACACACAGGGTTGGCAACATGCAGCTATTTTTTGTTCGCTCCCTCACATGACCAACAGGTACGTTTTACCCAACCTAGTAATTGAAAAAGTAGCAGAACACACTTTATCAGTGCAAGATGATTTGGGAATTATCTGTTAAATTTTGGGAAAGAGACAAAAGGACTACCGGGGCTGCAGAAATCACTACGGAACCGACTGTAAAATGTAATGCAAACAAGAAGTCAAATATGGTCTACAAAATTCAATGCAAGTATTGTGAATAAAACTGGATAGGAATAAAATGGGATGAAACTACCTACCAGAGTAAAGAAGCTCACTTCTGCTATTGGGAGACACGAAAATCGTGCGCTTGTCTCCACAAATTATGCTCAAGCAAAACACGAATTTCCAGATGTTTATAGACAGAAGAGCTCTTTTGCGACAAACAAAACACTCAGGCTACATATTTCATGTAGCGTTACCACATGTGCTCCGCATGCGGGAAGACCGTGACACAGACAGAGCACTTTCCGCTCATCCCAGTGCTGAGCGTGGGAGAAAACATGGTGGGCAGTTTTGATCTCACAACGAAGTATGAAGGCAATAAATGACAAAATTAGACGGTTCACAGACTGCCATCACCTTGGATGGGGACTCAGGGACTCAAATCATCAGTGGCTAATGACACTGGCAGAAAAGCCTCAATCACATAGTCAGTTGCGCTCATAGATCAAAATCATCACCTAAAATATTGAGGCCCTCTTAGTACGGCTATCAAGACTTAGCCCTATTCACTGCTCTCTACCAATTTCCGGTGATCGAAGCCGTAGCAACTGGAACCATTGTGCATATGGCGCAAGAACTGGGGCATGTATATATATATATATATATATATAT